ATTGTTTTAACTTCTGTCCTCAAAATGATGCTGTAGGGCACTGCACACCAGAACAACTAGACACAAGGACAGTTTTTCCCCGAATGCCATCACTCTGCTTAACCACTAATTCCCACAACACTGTCAAATAATTTACTAAGACTGTATTACTATTATTCTTCTCTTTCTTCCTAGTATCTCTTCCCACTTATGACTATTACATGTTGCCTGTATCTTTATAATTTATATTGTTTTATTTGATTACTAGTACAATATGATAGCTTATTAGTAACCTTAACTATCACTAAGTGTTGTATATTTTTATTCTTGATGAATGTATTCTATTTTATTCTCCTTATGTACACTGAGAGCATATGTACCAAAGACAAATTCCTTGTGTGTCCAACCATGCTTGGCCAATAAACAAGTCTATTCCATTCCATTCCATTCTATTTTATTCTATTCTATTCTGTTCCATTCCATTCTATCCCTGATTCTTTATTCTATTCTATTCTATTCTATTCCATCCCTGATTCTTTATTCTATTCTATTCCATTCCATTCCATTCTATCCCTGATTCTTTATTCTATTCTATTCCATTCCATTCCTGCCTTGATTGGAGTAGACCCCCAAAGTCCCTTCCAGCCCTATGGTTTTATAAGTCACTAACTCTCCCTACATCACCAGCCCTTCCCAAATCAGGCATTTTATGGGCCTCCAGAGATATATTTTGATTCTCCTTAAATGATGACGCCTTCAAAGACAAGGAGAGAAGGGGTGGGGGAGACTTTCTCCACGGTATGCTACTAAGAGATGCATATCCATTTTCTTTTTCCCAAAGTTAGAATCCCATCCCGCTGTTTGTGCAGAAAAACAACAAACCTATTTAACAGAGGAAATAAGGAGGCAACAAACATTTGTACATTTGACCCCTTCAGAGCAAATGTGCAGTAAAAGCAAACACTGTTTTTCCAGGCCTCTGATGTAAAGATGGATTGAAAGGAATATTTTGAGGCTCTCTCTTCTTTTTTGCTACACTTCAATGTTGATGTACATGGCCAGGTTTGCCAACTAGGCTTCATCTAGTGATGGAATGTCATCCCTGGGCGAGTTTGCATAATGCATCAAATGATCAGTTCAACAAACCGGGGTAGGTGAGTTGTTCTAGAATAAGCAGGTCAGCGAAAAACTAGCCAAGATTAATGCATTCTTTTTGGGAAATTATACCAATGCATCTGTTTGCTGTCGCCCCGACCTCCTTCAGCATCTTGTGGGAACACTGGGGCATGCAGAGAGCGAGAACGGCACCCAGCCGGAGGCCTAATTTTAGGCCCTGCTCCAAAAACCACCGACAGCCAGCAACTGTTCTCAATAAATATTTAACTCTTCAACCTTAAATATTAAATATTCATTCCACTCCAATGTCAAGCATTTAATTTAAAGAGTTGCATTTAAATCATTCATGCTTCTCCTCCGTATGGCCTGGGCTGATAATTTCTCATCCTCTTAAGACTGCACACCCATGGATCATGGGCATTGTAGTCCAACCCATCAGAAGAGTGGCAGATAAGGAAGCTGGGGTGGGGAAGTTATTATTAATCTGACCATCTTTTGAAGGTTAACTCTGAAAAATGCAGCTTTCTCCAGGAAAGGCCTGATGTGAAGCTGAGGAAGGCAGCATCTCTAAAATGTCTCGCCCCCTTTCTGGCCTCACTTTAAGAGAAACACTTTACTGCTGGTTCACTGCACAGAAGTCTCTTTCATTACTAGAGCAAGGTGCTCCCCCCCCCCCCCCAAGCTGCTTCTTGGACCTCTCGGGTAAATCTCCAGCCTACCTGGAGGGACCTCTTCCCATGCTCCACAAGTCCAGCCCTGCTTAGCAGCTGGAGAGCAGATCTGTGAGACCTGACCAGCTCTATCGAATCAGCCAAGGAGCCTGGTGTGGTCACCCTGCTTGGATGGCTATTCTGCATGTGTAGAAACAGGCTTGTGGAAATATTCACAGGTGGCAATGCAATCTACCCTCAGTTACAGAAATGTATGATGAAAGAGGGGGGAATGAGGGTATACACAGGCACATACAGAGAGATGGATGGATGGATGGATGAACGGACAGACGGACGGACAGACAGACAGACAGACAGATAGAGATAGATATTANCCACAGAGAGGAGGGGGTCAAGCTATTTTCCAAGCCACCCAAATGCCAGACAAGGAATAATGGATGGAAACTGACCAAGAAGAAATTCAACCTAGAAATAAGGAGGAACTTTCTGACAGTGAGAACAATCAACCAGTGGAACAAAAGTTGCCTTCGGAAGTTGTGGGGGCTTCATCACTTTCAAGTGAGACGGGACTGTCACTTGTCAGAAATGGTGAAGGGTCTCCTGCTTGAGTGGGCAGATGGACTAGATGACCTATAAGATCACTTCCAACTCTATTAATCTGTTAATGCCTCAGCAACCTGAAAAAGGGGGACATGAGATAGAAGAATTTATTCCCACACACCTACCTTATCCTAGATCTGATAAAAATTAACTCCAAAGTTTGTGTTTTATGACAAGGCACTACAGGTAGTCCTTGACATGATCATAATTGAGCCCAAAATTTATGCTGCTAAGTGAGACATTAGTTGAGTTTTGCCCCATCTATTAAATCTGTTAATCTTCAATTCACAGTCTCGGACTGGTAAAATCTTAACAGTTCAAGTCCTAACCAAGGACCTAAGAGCTGATAAGGAAATATCTGGGTGTTGTACATAGACAGTTCTGAATGGTTTTTTGCAAAGTCAGAATACTTTGTAAGTCTGGTAGATACTTTGGCCCATAAGTCCAAAAGGATTTCCTGAATTTATTGGGCAACATCACATGGTATGCTGGACTTTACACAACCCATATTTTAAATCAGGGGGCCTGATTTTGTCTCCTTTGGCATCTGCTTGTACCAAGTGTAACTTGTGATTCTCAGAGTCTCTTGAGAAAAATTAATAAGAAAGGTTCAGAGCTACAGGAATTTCAGAAATTGAACTGTGTGCTGAAGACTCTGGCATCTACAGGAGTAGAGCAAGAGAGCATTGAAGGAAAAGAAGACACAAGTCCAGTGAGAGGGAGAATATTACAAAGAGACACAGACTAGCCTCTCACTTGGTTCCATCAGATAAAAGAGGGGGGAGGAGGAAAAGGAGGAGGAGGAGGAGGAGGAAAGAAAGAAAGAAAGAAAGAAAGAAAGAAAGAAAGAAAGAAAGAAAGAAAG